TCCGACATTTATATTCTTTATATCCGACAGCTTCCCTTTTGATAGAAGTATCTTCATTTCTTTTTCGCTCATATGGCCAAGCCTTTGGTGCCATAAGTTTGATTTTCCATCAGCATCTGCTGTAGCAATGATATTCTCTAAGTTTGAGGTTACATAGTCTTCTTACCACGAGCAATGACGAGTGCTCCTTTTGTAATCTTCCATTCACAGCCTGAAAAGGTTGTACTGTATCCTTCTCCATCAAGCTGTCCAACAGAAATCAGATTTCTTTTGAGGCCAAGAATATGTCTCACTCCTGTCAGCTTCTAGGTGGTCTGGTTTGGCAACTTTAGTCGGATGTCTCCTTTTCCGGCGATCTTCAAGGTTTCATCAGCAGCTAGATGAACCTTCCCAAAATCACCACTGACATAGTTCTCCATGATTTCTTGGCATAGGGTGGAGTGGAAAGATGCTCCTGAATCCAAGATCCATGATTCAATCGGACTGTTGACGGTTAGAATCATGGCATCACCTGTCTCCTCTATTACGTTGGTAGATTCCTGTGCGCCGGTATTTTTCTTCAGTGCTCGACAATCTCTTTTAAAGTGACCCTTCTTGCCACAATTATAACAGGTAAAATCTTTCTTTCCTGTTCTTGATTTGCCCCTTCTGGATTTCGATCTGCCATTATTTGAATTTCTTTCTGAAGTTATTCCTCTGGACTCCGTGTGCAAGTCTGAGGAGGTTGATGCTTCACCCGATTCTCTCCGTCAAATTTCTTCGCTCAGTACCAGATCCCGAACATCGTCGAATTTTAATTTGTTGTTTCCCGACGAACTGCTGACTGCTGTAACAGTAGCATTCCAACTGTCTGGTAGAGATGATAAGAGAATTAAAGCTCGAACTTCATCATCGAATTCAATTTCCACTGAACTCAACTGGGTTGTGATTGTGTTGAGTTCATTTAGGTGTTGTGCCACCGATGCCCCTTCTGTCATCCGCAAATTGAATAATCGCCTCATCAAATGAACTTTGTTTGAGGCCGATGACTTCTCATACATACTGGAGAGAGCCGCCATAAGACCCGCCGTGGTCTTTTCCTTTGCTATGTTGAAAGCAACATTGTGGGATAACGTCATTCGGATAACTCCGAGGGCTTGTCTGTCGAGAAGAGCCCAGTCTTCATTCTTCATACCCTCTGGTTGTTTTCCTGAGAGGGGTTGATATAGATTTTTCTGGTATAGAAAATCTTTAATTTGCATCTTCCAAAATCCAAAGTCCGTACCATCGAACTTTTCAATTTTCACATTCCCTTCGTCTGCAGCCATCGCTTCCACTCGAATCTGGCTTCGTTTGGATCGTTTCTGACAATTTCTGCGAACTACCGTGTATTAGAACACCTCCGTCGACAAACTCGTATCGCCGACCGAATTTCACTATTCACAAAATTCACTATTCATATAAATAGTAACCCGAATAGTAATCTCACAAAAAATTGACAGAATTCACAACCAAAAGCTATGATGCCAGTTCTTAGGAAATAAACCGAGTACAAGTAATTTTCCTATAACCAGATTAGTGAGAATGAGAAATAAAAGCGGAAAAATAATACCTGAAAATTGATAACGGAGTTCAGCCAATTGTGCTTACGTCTCCGGGCTGCTGCAGATCTTTTACTAAGAGAGAAAATTTACATGTGTTTACAAAACACTCACTATTCACAAGAAAGCTCTCTAGTAAAGGAAGAAAGAAATGTTTTGGGATGATTTAGAAGCTAAATGAGCTAAGGTATTTATAGTTGAAACTTAAGGACTAATCTTGTAAATACCCTAAACTGTGCAGTTGCTAAAAAGTAATTAACCCAAAAACATTTTAATTAAAATATTGGGGCACCGAATTCGGTGCCCCCTTTGCTGAAAAATTGCTCCCTTTACTGAATTATAATTCGACTGGGCCCCTCCCTTTTTTTTTGAGTTTTCTCCAACAGCTATAAGTCGACCATTAACTAATATGCTGAAGAATTACAGCTTCAAATGGACTCCGGAATCGATAGCAGTTTTTATCAGTTTGAAATCAATTATGTGTAAAGCTCGAGAGGTATTTGGGTTCTGCTGTCCCAAGGAGAAATACCTATAGCCTTTTTAAGCAACACCCTCATTTCTAAACATTCTGATTTATCCATCTATGAACGGGAGTATCTATCCATTTTAATGGCTTTCACAAAGTGTGAGACATTATTTGGAGGGGGCGTATTCGTTATCAAGAGAAATCATGAATCTTTAAAACACCTACTGAAACAAAAAATTACTACTGTAATACAGAATAAAAAACTAATAAAATGATAAGGATGGAAAGTGAACTTTTGGTAAGGAATATTGAGATACAGAAAACAAGTTTACATTGGAACAAGTAATAATCTACGATAACAAATAGTGGTTCTTCTCTATGATTCTTTAGTAGGAGGGCATTCAAGGTTGCAACTTGCAAGCGACTTACTACATGGTCAAACAATACTTTTATTTGCAAGGAATAAAAACAACAACAAAATGTCATATTATGCAATGTGATACGTATCAGAAGACAAAATCAAGACACATTTCTAAGCCATGATTACTACACTCGATCCCAACTCCAACTAATGCATGGGAAATTATATGTATGGATTTTATAGGTCTTCCCTCTTCAAACTACCTAGACAAGTACACAAAGTATGAACATTTTATTCCCTTAGCTCATCCTTACACTGTTAAAGAGGTTGCTAAGGCTTACTTAAAACAAGTTTTCAAATTACATGGAACGCCTAAAAGAGCTATTTCAGACAGGATAAAGTATTCACAAGCCTTTTCTGGAAGAAACTCATGAAGCAATTGGGAGCTGAAAACTTATATAGTATCCTGAAACGGACGGACAAATCGAGCGGTTAAACCAATGTTTAAAGTAACATTTGAGAAGCATTTGCTTTCTCAAGCCCACTACTTAGGTGAAATGGTTTCCCCAAGCCAAATGGTGGTACAACATAAATTTTTATACTGTTTTAGAAACAACATCATTTGAGGCCCTATATGATTATAAACCATAACTTCTAGCATAAGGAGAGGAATCAACAGTACAGAGTGTGACAAAATTAATGTCTAATTGTGATTAGTTGTACAAGTTATTACAAGATCAATTATAGAATGCACAAGCTCAGATGAACCAGTATACAAATAAAAATAGAAAGGAGAGAGAGTTCCAAGTGAGAGATGAGGTTTAATTTAAGCTCCAACCGTATCGACATAGTTTCATTACCCTGAGAAAACATCTCAAGCTGGCTATACGTTATTACGGTTCTTACAAAATCATCAAACGTATAGGTCAATGGCTTATCAATTGTAGTTGCCTGAATCTTTTAAAATTCATCTGATTTTTCATGTAAGCTTTTTAAAGAAAAAGGTCGGGGAAAAAGTTTTTTTTTCAATCGATCCTTCAGAACTCGATCAGGATGGGAGCTTAAAAATTTACCTTGAATAAATGCTTGACAAACACATGGTGAAGAGAAATAATCAAGTGATAACTCAACTATTGATACAGTGGACAAACATGGTGCCTTAAAACGTTACGTGAGAATGGTTGAAGCGGAGAAAATTATCATGATGCAAGGGAATAAGAAAAGGGGATCGTGGGAGTTAAGGATTGAGAAATTAGGGCATAGTGAAGAACAAAATTGGAAAAACCCAATTGTTACAATAAGAAAAAACAACATCGTTCTCTTAGAATGATATCTGTAAAGGGGCTGGTAAAGGGAACATGCCATATTGGTAGTGGTCCAACTGAAGATATAAGCACCTAAAAGACTATGTCAAAAGGAGAACCGTTTGTTAGTTATCTTAGTTAAATAGGTGTGTTCCTTTGTAAAACATATCACCTGAACTATATAAAATCTCTTGCATTCTTCTATCTTCTTAGTCTAATTCTTGAATCTTTCTTCAATCTTTCCTTCGAAACTCTTCTTTCACGACCACAGGTTGTGACAATTGAAAGAGAAAAATTAGAAAACTGAGAAAAAAAGATCACAATAATATGTAATGGATTGCTCAAGAAATTAATAAATGACTAAGAAAATATAGAAGATAGATTGAAGAAAACAGAATTCTCAAGATTTTCATTAATAGATTTGATGATCATTACAACTGATTTTTATAAGAATAGTCATAAGAGATTGCCAGCTGTACATTATTTTTCAACAAACTAGATTCCTTTAGCTGATTTGTCTTCTACTGTTGATGCAGGTTGTTGGGCTCGTTTTCCTTCTCAGGTCCACTAAGCATTCATTCCTTAGCTCCATCAGCCCACACCCAAGTTCCAGGTCCAGCAGGTAATGAAATATCCTTATTATTCTTCTCTTCATCTAATTTCCCATTTTCAATCCCTAATTTCCATGTATTCCCCTTTTCTTCTTCAGTAATCCCTAAATTCACCTTATGGGTCATGATAATACCCCCATCTACAGCAGATGCTTGTCCCCAAGGATCGAAGTCTAGAAATTGGGATCGAAGGACCGTGAAATCTTCCCAGGTTGCATTCTCAACTCCCAGATTTGACCATTGAATAAGTAATTGAGTCACTGCCCTCTTGTTTCGTTTGATGACTCGTTTATCCAAAACGATTGTAGGATAAACCTGAAGCTGCCCATCAACAGTGATTTCAGGTGGGTCTCTCGAAGCAACATTCTTATTCCTAATTTTTCGTTTAAGAAGACTGATATGAAAAACCAGATGAAGTTTAGAATAATCTGGTAATTCCAATTGGTATGCTACTGAACCAATGCGTTTCTTGATTTTGTAGGGACCATAGTAACGAGCAGATAATTTTAGATTCCTGCGTAAGGCCAAAGAAGTTTGCTTATAAGGCTGGAGCTTAAGGTAAACTTCCTCCCCTTCCATGAATTCCCTATCAATGCGATGATGATCTGCATAATACTTCATACGATGTTGTACTGTAGTCAATTGGTCAAGTAGTATACTGTTAACATTGTCTCGTTCCTACACAAACTGCTGAACATCAGCCACCCTTGATTCAGTTATCCACGTCATAGTTGGAGGTGTATAACCATATAAGGCATGTAAAGGAGTAGTTCCCAATGTTGTATGAAAACTAGTGTTGTACCACCATTCGGCATGAGATAACCACTTAGCCCAAGAACTAGGTTTTAAAAAACAAAGTCCTCTTATATATTGTTCAAGACAGTGATTGAGTCTCTCTGTTTGACCATCTGTTTGAGGGTGGTAGGCAGTGGTAAATAGAGTTGTAGTGCCCAATAACTTCAAAAATTCTTTCCAAAAAACACTAGTAAAATTTTTGTCTCGGTCAGACAAAGCAATCTTAGGTTGACCATGAAGCTTGTAAACTTGATCCAAGAAAATTTTAGCAACTTCAGTAGCAGTAAAAGGATGAACCAGAGGTAGAAAATGCCCATATTTGGTGAATTTGTCAATTACCACCAAAATAGAATTATATCTATTAGAAGTAGGCAACCCTTCAATAAAATCCATCGTAATAAATTCCCAAGCTTGCTGTGGAAGAGGTAAAGGTTGTAATAAACCAGGCTATAAGATATTTTCATGTTTGATTCTCTGACAAACATCACACTGTTGCACATGTTGTTTAACCACTGCCTTCATTCCCTTCCAATAAAAATATAACTTCATCCTGTGATAAGTAGCCTGTATCTCAGAATGGCCACCTTGTGGTGAATCATGGAGTGTAGAATGGACTTTGTATCTTAGAACTCCTTTAGTATAAGACCAATCTGCTATAGCATGATTTTTAAGTAATAATTTAGGAATTAAATCCTTTGCCAAAGAGTCCTGTTCATAACTGTTTTCCACCTCTTGGACCCAAGCAGGAATAATTATTGTAGCAGATAACTGATTTAATTCAGAAGAATCCTCAAACTGTCTTGATAAAGCATCAGCAGCCCTGTTATGCTTCCCTTTATGAAAATGAATAGAGTAGTCCAATCCTAGCAAATTTGTTAAGCCATTCTTTTGAATTGCAGTGGTAATCTTCTGTTCTAACAAGTTATTTTATGATTCATGATCTGTTTTAATAATAAGTGGACTTCCTTCAAAATAATGCCTCAATTTAGAAACAACCATTAATATTGCTAGATACTCCTTCTCATAAATATATAAATCAACCTGCTTTGGTCCCAAAGCCTTACTGAGGTAAGCAAGTGGTATTCCTTCTTGAGATAGGACTATACCTATACCCTTGGAACTGGCATCAGTTTCCAAACAAAATAGTTTTGTGAAATCTGGTAGAGCCAACACAGGAGCATTACACATAGTTTCTTTGAGTCTGATAAAGGCCTTCTTAGCTTTCTCAGTCCAAAAAATTGATCATTCTTCAGCATTGTAGTGAGGGGTTTACTGATTTCCCCATACCCCTTTATAAACTTCTTGTAATAACCAGTAAGTCCCAAAAACCCTCTCAAGGATTTCAAATTCTTTGGAATTGTCCAGTCCTGAATTGCTTGAATCTTTGAGGAATCTGTAGATACTCCCTTATGAGAAATAATATGACCAAGATACTCTATTTCTGATTGGCCAAAAAAGCATTTATTTTTCTTAGCAAAAAGTTTATTTTGCCTTAGAACCTCCAAGACAATTCACAAATGCTGCTCATGACTATGCAAATCAGAACTATAGATTAAAATATCATTAAAAAATACTAGGACAAATTTCCTGAGATATATTCAAAATAGATCATTCATGAGAGCTTGAAAAGTAGCTGGTGCATTAGTTAAGCCAAAGGGCATTACCTTGAATTCAAAATTACCATGGTGTGTCCTGAAGGCTGTTTTTGGAATATCTTCAAGCTTAATCCTGATATGCCAATAACCAGATCTCAAATCCAATTTAGAAAAAAAATTTGCACCAGCTAGCTCATCCAAAAGATCATCCACCACAAGAATAGGAAATTTTTTCTTGACAGTTAATGCATTTAACTGCCTATAATCAATGCACATTCTTCAGCTGCCATCTTTCTTATTAACTAATAAACAAGGTGAATCAAAAGGACTTTTGCTGGTTTGAATAATTGATGCTGCTAACATTTCAGCCACTTGATTCTCAACCTCTATCTTCTGATAATAAGGCATCCTGTAGGGTCTAGCATTGACTGTTTCAATTCCTGGTTTAAGAGTAATAGAATGATCATGCTTCCTTTTTGGAGGCATCCCAGTAGGTTCTTCAAACACATCTTTATACTCAGCAATTACTGCTTGTAGAGTAGGAGGTATTTCATTAACAACAACCTCTGCATTTAACATATAGATCTCCCCCACTACTTCAGGATTTTTAAGTATAATTTTTTGCATCTTGTTACCTGAAATTATCTTCATTGCATTAGGATGCAATCCTCCCTTCAACACAATCTCATGTTCACCAATTTGAAAGCTAAGAGTCATATTGTTAAAATCCATTAAAACTGGACTGTATTTCTTCATCTAGTCAACTCCTAGCACCATATCACTGCCTCCAAAGGGTAAAACCCTAAAATCATATGCAAAAGTAAAATCTTGCATCTCCCAGCTCAATTGTTTACTTTTTACTGTGCTGTAAAGCTTATCACTATTAGCCACTATGATAACTAAGGGATTAGTTTCTTCCAACTCCAACCCTTCTTTAGCCCACATGTTAGTGACAAAACTGTGGGTGCTGTCACTGTCAATTAGGATACTGAGTGGTTTCTTTTTAATGAATCCTTGGATCCTTAAAGTACTGCTTCCTGAATTACCAGTAATTGCATTCATAGAAATCTCTGGATCTTTTTCCTCAGATACTGCTTGTAATTCTTCATTTTCCTCTTGATCTTCTATCTCTTCCATGGAATTTAGTTGCTTCAATTTGCAGCGATGGCCTGGAGTAAACTTATCACCACATTTATAGCATAAATTATTTGCCCTTCTATACTCCAACAATTGTTGTCTGTTTTGAGTGATCCCTGGGTTGTTCTTCAAGGATGAACTCAGTGAAGAATTAAGTGTTCTGAAATTGGTATTATTTCCTGACATCATTGGTCTTGGAATGCTTCTAATTCTTTTGCTTTCCACCTCCAAAGATAGCTCATATAGTTTTGCTTTTCTAGCAGCTTCAGCTACAATCTTTGGTTCCAGAACCTTAACTTGATGTTTCAATTCCTCTTTAAGACCACTCAAAAAACTGGAAACAAAATACTCCTCACCTAATTCAGGATTAATCTGAAATAGATAAGGTTGAAGTTCAAACTGAGCTTCATACTCCTCCACAGAAGATAGTTGAGTTAATTTATTAAACTCATCAATAACATCAATATATCCTTTATCAACAAATCGATGACATAAATCAGAGACAAATTCATACCAAGTAACCCTACATTTTTTCATGATATACCCATCAAACCAAACTTTAGCGTTACCAGTGAAATACATAGCAGTTATCTCTAACTTCTGAAGCTCAGGAACATCAAAAATAGAAAAATACTTCTCACATTTTCTGATCTAACTCCTAGGATTACTGCTATTAAATAATTGTAGTTCTATTTTTGGTTTTGGAATAAACATACCAGTATTGTTGTTGCTGGAATGTTTTTTTCCAGAAATGAATAGCCTTTAATGATCGATTGCTTCCTTAATTCAGTTGTATGATTTACTGCTTTCATTTTCAGAACATGAGGAACTTGTTGAATATCATCCTGTGGCAGACTAGGTTTAGATGCTAAAATTCCAGGTTGTCCCGGTTGAAAGGAATACTTTTCACGCTCATCAATAACTGTGACTTGTAAAGGCAGTTTACTTGGTTCTGTAAGCTGAACTGTAGGTAATGGTTGTCTTTCTGCATGAGAAGAATGTCCTGATTCAGTCCTAGCCTTCTGCATCAATCCCAAAAGTTGCTAGAGCATGGTTTTCGTTTCAATTGTGGTAGTCTCCAAAGCTTGCATCCTCTGCTCCAAAGCACTCTGTTGATTAAGCCACCAAGTGGGAATCGCGTCAGCTTCAGAAGACTCTGCTGGATTAGTAGGAATATTCGGCTGCTACTCAGTAAGAGACATTTGTTGTGTTTTCTTTGATTTACCCAGCTTGAAAAAAAAATATGTACTTTTGGATCAAAAAACCGTGCTCTGATTACCAATTGTAATGGATTGCTCAAGAAATTAAGAAATGACTAAGAAAATAGAGAAGATAGATTGAAGAAAACAGAATTCTCAAGATTTTCATTCATAGATTTGATGCTCATTACAACTGATTTTTATAGGAATAGTCGTAACAGATTGTTAGCTGTACATTATTTTTCAACAAACTAGATTCCTTTAGCTGATTTGTCTTCTACTGTTGATGCAGATTGTTGAGCTCGTTTTCTCTCAGGTCCACTATGCATTCTCCATCAGCCCACGCCCAAATTCCAGATCCAGCAGGTAATGAAATATCCCTATCCTTCTTCTCTTTATCTAATTTCCCATTTCCAATCCCTAATTTTCCCGTATTCCTCTTTTCTTCTTCAGCAATCCCTAAATTCGTCTCATGGGTCATGACATAATAATGATAGGAGGACGGGGAAGATCAGCATCGTCTTCAACAACAGCGACGGCAGCCGGAGGAACATGGGTTTCGACAGCCTCGGTGTCGGATTCAGGGAAGAGGATACAAAAGGAGATGTCTGAGCTCAACGCCAACCCTCCTCCCCATTGCACCGCTGCCCCCAAGGGCGACAGTCTCTTCCATTGGGTCGCCACCATCATTGGTCCCCCTGGTTTACAACTCCTCCTCCTCTTCTTCTCTCTCTGCCTTCTCTTAAAAATCTCTCCTTTTACTTTTTCCCTAGGATTCTTCCGTTTCTGGGGAATGGGTGTTTGTTAAATCTCTGGGTTTTAAGCTCACTTGCATAATTATCGCTTTTCTAGAATTTGGGTCTTTGTTGAATTTACATATGTTTTCATGCTTGAACTTGCTGTTCTGTTGTAATTTCCTTTCGGTTTGAGTGATAACTTAAGGTTTACAGGAGAAAGGGTGAAAAACTGCAGGCAAAATTAGTTGAATTTAACTCAAATTACAGATTTCTTTAGAAGAAACTAACAATTCTTTGGGTTTAATTCTAGCTTCCCAATATCGTCGTCTTTTATTTTTGTTATTGTTTGATGAACAGGTTAACTCAGCTATATTGACAAGCTTCCTAATGTTCATGTTTCTAGGAACACCATACCAAGGCGGCATATTTTTCCTTGATATGACATTTCCGAGTAATTATCCCTTTCAGCCTCCCAAGGTATGCTCATTAATCATATCGTTGAAGATCATTTACAATATTTTTATCATCTAATTTTGCTGTTTGGATCATCGCTGCTCGAGTTTCTAATTATGTTAGAGGGAGAGGGTGATGGGGTGTTTTATGAAAGTGGGAGGTGCTTGATGTTTGGCTAGGCAGACTAGCTGAAAGTACATGATCATATTAATACACTAGCTATACTTGATGTTTGGCCACCTTATATTGCGAATATGGAGAGTTTTACTTCGAATTCAAAGTTGAGGCGAACATACAAGGTTCTCCTTATGTATGAGAACTCTTTGTGGTCTTAGCATGTATAACACTAAACAAATTTCTTCTATTCTCCACATGGGTTGATGCATTGTTGGGGGAACTTTTATTGCACTTCTTTACTTTTTTCCTTATTCCTTTTGGTTACATGTATCATATTTCAGGTGGTATTCAAAACTCGAATATATCACTGCAATGTCGATGCTGCTGGCAATCTTAGTTTGGACATCTTAAAGGATAGCTGGAGCCCTGCCCTAACAATTACAAAGGTTCTTACTGAAATAATAGCAATTTTCATAAACCCTGATCCTTGTAAGTTCCCCAGTACCTCTTGAATTTTGTCTATCATTTCTTAATGGGTAGGCTATTTGTCGAGTTAAACGAGTATCCTACAAGTAACTGTGAGGAATAAAGAGTTTGGTGCAATTTTTGCACAAGGAGCAGCAAACAATATCTGATTTTAAACGAGTAAAATATGTAGTTGCAATGCTGCAACCGCTTGATTTTAAACGAGTAAAATATGTCATTTTTCATATGCCATGATCATGCTGAAGATGTGACTGTTCTTTTTATATGACAGATACTCCTCTCATCTCCAGTGTTGCTCGCTTGTACTTGGCTGATAAAGCTAAACATGATGAAATCGCTGTGGAGTGGACGCTGCGGTTTGCTAAATAATCCATCAGTAATGCTTTAGGGAGCAATATAAGGTGTAACAAGTGTGAACTGAACCACATGCCGAATTCGTTGTAAATTTAAGGGTTACGGATTCTGAACTCCTTGGCATCTAAAGTGGTTTGCCTATCAGCTGCTCTGAAAGTGAACTATAATAGTAAACTGTTTGTAGACCCCATGTTTGCAGGAAAAATGAGGCAATAGTGGACCGTTGAGTGAAATGTGGTTCAGGTTGGCTTATATATTAGGGTTCTTTGTTCTTATTAGTGTTTCATGGAGGAGAATAATTAAGATAGTTCCATGCTTTTATAAAATTATAGTGTAAACATGCTATTTTGTAGGTACCAAGAGAAAGAGAACGTCTTACAATGTGGCGCACCATGTTGTAAATAAGACAGACATATGCAAGTTATTCCAGTTCGACTTATCAAAATTCGATTTGAATGAACTCGAGTGAGTTGTTAATGAGCTGCAGCGAAATACTTGTTATTTAAGTTGAAACTGACGAGCAACTTGAAAAAATAATATGTTAAAATTTTAATTTTAAATTAAATTATTAATTATATTAAAACTTATATGTTTTTTTTTAATATAGTACAAAATTTTTATGTAAGTAAGATTTAGGTTCAAACTTGAGCTTCAACTAAGATACTAGTTCTGAGAATGTTTTGAGTTTAAATTTTTTTGAGTTTAAGTCGAGTTTTAATTTTTGATTTCGAGTTCAAATTGAGTTTAATAATTTTAAACTCTTGGGTTTCTGAATAGAGTCGAACTTAGCTTTAAACATTTTAAGTTGAATCTAATTTAGTAATACTATATTCGTATCATTTATAGCCTTATGTGTAATTCATCTAAATTGGCTAGGCACTAGAGTAATGATGTCCAATAACAAACCATGTCTAACTCATCATACAAAACTAAGATCAATGACGAATAAGGTGTTGTACGACGACACGAGTCTGTAAAGCAATCGGACAACACCAGTAAGCTTGCCGGACATCGGCACGACTTCGGAAATACCTAAAATGCAAGACTCCAGCTCTTCAATAGATGACACACCAAGGATGCGCATGACACAACCGGACACCTAACTTCGTACTCATGCATCAAGTTATGGATATGGGCCACACTGAGTCAAGTAGCTTTTGGTGAGCTGCTATCTACTAATTAATTAGAGCAAACAGCTTCACGTTCACCCAAACTGAATTATTTTGGGACCCAATGCCTTAAAGAGATTCTTGAATATGCAGAATTTGGTCCACACTTAGTCAAGTTGCTTTTGGTTCCATTATTTACACCCTTAAAATTGGGGACAAATAACAATGTAATAAAAATGATTAAACCCAGTAAAAAACTAATCAATTTCATTAATTATACAATCCCATGAAACTAATTCTTTTACAATAATTACTTAAACAATAATCTTAATACATCCGCCTACTGCAAATATACATCCACGAATTTGGCTCCATTGTTGAACTCCGTCCACATCTTGGATTTGCCGACATTTTTCATAACAAAGTACCACAAAACGGTAAGCACAGTCACTGTAGTGCTCACCAAAAGCACAGTCCCATTGGCCACTGACATAATGTAGACCAAAAACCCACAAGGAATCAAGCACGTGATAATCAAACCAGGCAACTCCATTGGCACTTTAAATGGCCTCTTCATCGTTGGCAATTTTCTCCTCAGCCAAAGGAACGATGCAAATTCGAGTAACATGCCTAAACTGTACAAGAAATTAACCGAAGAAATTAAGTTTGCAAAGTTCATATAAGAGACCACGATGGTAATCGATGTTGAGACCACAATCCCCACCCAAGGTGTGTCAAACCACTTGGATCTCACTGAGAAACACCGAGGCAGAAACCCGATCTCTGCCATGCCGAGAAGCTGATACGCGAAACTAGTCAGCTGCGCTTCGTAGAATCCGATGGTCGATAAAATGGCACCGATCTCAACAAAGATCATTAGCCATTCGCCTGCTATGATCTTGGCAGCATCAGCGAAGTACCCATTGACTCATTTCTCTTGCTCAAGTGGTATAGCCCCAGTAGAGGTTAAAAGAGGCACTAAATTGGAGAAAACAGTGAGCATCCCGGCTGAGAAAAGAGCTTTGGGGAATGTCTTTTGGGGTTGGTCGATTTCACCAGCTAAAGCACTGACGTTGTCCCAGAAGTTCAGGTTCCAAAAGAGGGTGTTGAAAAACAATGACCAATTGGTTTGCATTCGGTCCTGACCCAAACCGAGCCAACTAATCGGGTTTTGACTCAAACTAAGCCATCTACTTGGATCAATCTTGGGGATTGAAATCAATGCCAACAATATGAACGGGACAAGTGTAATAACGCCTAAAACTATAGCAGTATAACCAATCACAACCAAGCCTGTGTAGTTTAACAGGGATAACATCGAAGATAAAAATGGTATCGCAATGTATCTAGGTACACCCGAAGAGAAAAGTGGGAAAACTAACCTGAGGTAATCGATGCAAAGAACAGAACATGAAGCGAGGTTGATGACACCACTGACGAATTTCCATGATCCCATAAGTGAACCCCAGAATGGCCCGAAAGCCTGGTGAGCCCAGATGATGTAGCCACCGTTACCGGGGAAGGCGGTGGCAAGCTCAGCCGTGATCAGTGCCTCGGGTATGCTCCATAGGAAAGGGAAAACAAGGAACCCCAGTATGGAACAAAACATCCCGGCGGCACCCACGGCTTCCTCTGCACCGTATGCACCACCGGATACTTCGAAGTAGATGAGGAAGATGAAGGGTAAGATAGACAGCTTTTTGGAAACTTTAGTGGTGGCGGTGGTGGTCGGAAGAGTTTCCTGGCGGTCTAAAAGCTTCTGGGATTCATCACAGGAGACTCCCATCGGGAATTATATATATATATCTTGCTTTGCAATTTCGTTCTGGAATTCGAATTCAAATCCACTCCATTATTTGAACATCAGATGCAGGTAGTCTTAAAAGCATCATCAACTAACTGTGTAATAGTTTCATCTGAAAAGCCAAATAGACATGCCTTGCAAGTTGGCTTTCTCCCTTGATTATTGGAGTATGCCCCATACACGTTATCAACATGTATATATTTATGGCTGAAAATGAATCGAAGTGCAAATTGAGTGATAAGCAAACTCAACAGCTCCTATACTTATATGAAATTTGTAAACCTAGTAACACCTTTATAAAAAATAGGTTAAATTACATAAATAATCATTAAACCATGTGTAAATAATATTTTAGTCACTAAATAATGTATGAACCCCATCCCATGCCTCCTTTGTCTTCTTCATTCCCACCTTTCACCAATACTATGCTTCCCTGCCTGCAAATACTATGAACAACCAATTAATTTACCACCAAGACTAGCTTGAAGGCTACATATACGACAATCCTTTTAGTTATTTCGACTATAATCATAGTTTCAAAATTAAATTATTAAAAAAAATACCAAAAACAAAATTTTAGTTATACCTGAGGGATTAAATGAGATATTTTCAATTAGTTTAGTATCTCATGACATCTTCGTGATGGTAATTAACAGTAGCTAATGGTACAATGATTATTTTATAACCGAATTAAAAAATTAATATATAATTTGTAGTTTTTAAAAGTTTAATGTCTCAAAAATTATTTTAACATAACTTAGTCACTATTTGTGTATTTTACCTGGAAATATTATTTTGGGCTTTAAAAATAATATTAATTAAACAAGTTGCTTGATTATTCATCAATGAATAATATTTATTGGATTGATTGATTGATACTAATATACATCCTTATACATATATTTAATAAATATAAGAATACGAGTAATATATTTAATCGGTTGATCAAATTATTAATTTTTGTTCATTCATATTCTCTTAGGTCAGAATTATAGAGTGTAAACTCGTTAAGAGCACTCATCTTAGAGTTTTCTTTTCCCTCCTTTAAGTAGATTAGAATGAAATTTAAAATTTATAAAAAAATAATTCTAAATTATATAATTCATTCTTACAAATTTTTCTCTAACAACTCATCATGAATAAAAGAAAAAAAAATATTATCATCTATAATAAATTTTTTCTCTTATAATTCAATATACATTCTCATATAATTCTCTTATAGTTTATTATCGATCGATTATAATAAACTTATCGAACTAAGATACTAAAATTTAATATACACTCTCACATTATTCACTTATAATTTACGATTATAATAAAATTTATCTTTTTAATAATGATTTTCTAAAAAACTTGTTTTTATAAATCTGTGATAATTTTCATTTACTCATCATTACTTTGAGAAAAAGAAAATAGAAGTACCCAACAATAGGTCGTTTACTTCCAAATCTGCATGCTCAAGAGGCCCCAAAAAGCTCAATTCTGCCATTGTCATCATTGTAGAAGTCATTTAGAGCTTCCAAGCAACTTCACAAATCTTCTAAATTTGTGCTCCTTGTTTTTTTATTGCAGTGATTGTTGAACCTTCGTAATACCGTCCAAAAGAACATATTGCACTTACTCGTGTTTAATTTTCTTACCCTCCAATATATATATATATATATATATATATATATGAATTAAAAGGAATCTAAAAAATTAGGTTATAAATCTTACAGTTATGATGTTTGTTAATCGATAGGTTTATGGCTAAGATACTTGTCTGTAGGTGGAGTGTCGTGGACGGAGGATCATCAACTAAAAGTGTTGTGGTGGAGCTGTCTTGGTTAATTCATCGGCAGTTTAGTTTTTTTCGTGTAGAAGCCAACGAATGTCCGTTACTCATGGATGTTCCTTTAGACTTATAACCTAACAAAAGGCTAGTAGTTGCATTATAATCATCAAGGCTAGTAGAACCGTTGGAAAGCTAAGAGACATTTGGTCATAACTCCAATAGACATGTTGACCAATAATACGAGAATTCTATTCAAAAAGTTGTCGTAAGGCTGTTCCAATTAATGTATTCTTTTCCAAGGCTTAGTCGAGTGTATCAATTGGAAGCGTTAGTCCATATTCCTTTGATGTGAGCCTTGTGATGCATGTATCATTCCCCCTCTCTTAAAAAAAGATTCGACCTCAAATCTTGGAAATCCAAGGTGATGAGTGGTTCTTGTTCTTCCATGAGACAGTCGTCGTAGGAAAACAAAAGATCAACTTTGCTCTCCCAATCTATGTAGCTGTCCGGATCATACTCGTCTTTGAACTATGAAATTGTGAATTTCAGGTTAGTAAAAAGTTATGACATTTAAAGTCGAGGTTGTGCATGTCTAGGTTGTATTGGATTATTTTATTTATCTCCTTTGGCTTCTCTTGGTTGATTTTCATCATTCACATTTGCTTGTTGTTGT